TCAGTTGTGCTTGAACAGATTCATGGGGCCGGAATGAATGACCCCTCGTCCTTACCAGCTCCTTCTCTCCAGGGATTCTGAAAGGCTGTCTCTGTTCCTTACCTTCTCCCAGGCTTCTCTCTACACCAGGAGCACTCACTTTTGGCGCTCCCAAATAGCCTACCACCCGCTCCCCCTCTCCTTTCTTCCTTCGGAAGTCCTCCCAAGGCCAGAGAACCTGCAACTTCTCCAATCACAATGGGCAAAATCCTCCTGCTGGCCTATCTAATCCATGCTGAGGTTTGCTCATTCTGTCTCCAGGCAGGAACAGACTGTGGCCATGAGAGTGTACAGGCTTTCTCTGGGAGGAGGGGGAAGGGGGCTGAGCAGTCACGGGGGTAACCTGAAGCCACACATGTGGTTTGTTCAATCCAGACCCCTGTCTCTGGCTGCTCCTTTCCTGCCTGCCTCAATGTTCCCTCGACCCGGAGCCTTCTATGGCTCACATAACTTATCTAGATCCTCAGGTGTGACTCACAGCTCCCTCGCACTGAGATTGGGAGCTCCTTTTGGATAATTCACTCATGCTCTCATAGGACCTAGCACGGTGCAATGCCCCCCAAATGCTTGGTGACTGAGAACTTCGGCTCAGTCCGATTTGCCCTGTGATAGGGCCCTGGCTTAGATCCAGCCCCACTGAAGAAAGAGGGGGGAGTTTCAAGTCAAATTAATACTTGAGCAAGGCGGGAGTTAGGTTCTCTCTAGTTGGTTTATGCCCTCTAGGAAAAGCCAGGAGAAGCCTGTCCAACAGAAGTCAGAGTCTAGAGTGAGCCTCCTTACCAAGGAGGCTGCCCTTGCAAGAAGCCTGGGCTCGGAGGTGTGAGGAAGCTTGGATGTCTTCAGGTGCAGGTGGAACAGGATGGCTTCCTGGGGACGTGGGAAAAACTAGCTGTGGCCCAATTCCTTGGGAAACCTGGTTCAGCTCTCCGGCTTGGTGGAAGCCGTTTCCCTTACTCCCTACCCGCCTCCCACCCCCAAGAGACAGCTCACATTCAGAAATGGAAGGCCAAGCAGGGAAGGTGCCCAACTGCCATAGAGCTGAACGGGGACACAGTATGGCATGTGGGGCGGGTGGGGGGGTGGGGACACCAATTTGAATACAAAAATGTCTCCCACTTTGCAACACAAGGCCAAATGATTAGCACCCAGGGAAAAACATGAGCCAGCAGTTTGCAACAAAGCTGGCGGGCACCTGGAATGTTGATCCTGAGGATCATGTTCCAGAGGGGAGACACCCCTCCCTGGGCCAGGCTGGTGCTCAATGCGGCTATTTCAGGCTGGGGTATTAAGGCTGAACCATGACGAATGTGAACCATTGTTTGTGTGCGTGCGCACACACCCCCCCCCCGCCCCCGCCACGGGCACACCCCTGACACACACACACACACACACACACACACACGCCCCAGACACTCTTTTTCTCTCTTCTTTCCCATATTGGCTCCCATGCCCTGATCCCCAGGCCAGCTTCCTGCACACAAAGTCTCTTGGCAGCTGAGGCCTCTCCTTCCCTAGGAAGGCCCGTCCAGCCCCACATCCCCCAGCCCAGGGAGAGTGACAGGAGCCTTCCCTGGGAATGTGGACAGCACGTGGCGCGTCCTACGCACCCTCCCCATTAAATCTCCCATCTTTGGTGATTCGCCATCCTTTTCAGCCTCAAAGCATAACTCCTCCAACTTGGTTGCATGATAGTCCCTTGTTATATCTGGAGGTCAGAGATCCTGCCATATCCACTTTGAGGTCCCTGGAACTCAGCAGGCTCAGTTGTGCTTGAACAGATTC